TTTTCGAGCCCAATGAGATTTGTTGATTCCGAGTTCCTGAAGATAATAGCATCCTTTCCCAATGGCAGAAAAAAAGGAGATCCCGAAAATTATGGGTCTCCTTTCCATTTTCCAAAATCTGGTCTCCTTTCTCGATCATAGATATTCGTAGCTGTGAGATCCCGTTGACGTATGGTGTGCGTGGTTAAAAGAATCCCGAATTCCATGAAGCAATTAGTTAGTGGAACTGAATCGCTGAAAAATTCGTTCACCTGATCTGATATTCAATATCTGTTCGAATTCTGAGTCTGATTATTCGGAGTAAAGATTATCTCCATTGTCCCAATTGTATCACAATGAATTCAAAGGGCTGAATGTCCATGTTGATCAGCACATTGAAAGTATTTTTTAAAACTCTTTGCAGAGATATTCCCCGCTTCCAATTCCATTTTCAAATCAATCAACTTCAGTTTTCGTATTCATTATATCCCCAGTTCCGTTTTTTTTCTATTGTCGTTCATCTACCAGTATCAGTGTTGTCAGCGTTAGGGACCAAGTTAATTTATAGCATTTTGTATGCTTTGATAGCTGCTTTTCGTTGGTGAAAATCTGAAACCCATTGAAGATTTTCCTGACGAGCCAGTGCCTAGAAATTTACTCTTTTTGAGTCGCTTTGAATCGCTCCCATCCGTGCCCAGCGAAATGCGTTGATAATCGCACTGTAAAGATATTGACTGAATGGAGTAATCGTTCCGAATTTCAGTTGGTCAGGTTCAGCGCACTCTTTATTGTATGACAATAGAGTGCTGATCATTTTAAAATACCGCAAATAAGAACTGGTCCATCCACCAGAAAACATCCACAAAAGTTGCTTGCCTTCGAGCACTCGTTATCGTGTTATGGATGGGCGTAGTGGCGGCGCAAATCACTCTAATGGTACCTTTCTACTACGTTTCAATTGCGTTTTTGATTTGATAAGGCAGTTATCATTTTTTGCATTCTTAAACACTGATAATACGATAGTGACCGTAGTCCGCGATGAATCGCTGTTTAACATATAGTGACTTGAATCATGCTATATCATCGAAATTCTGGTTTCAGTTATATAAATTTTGAAAATCGCTCGGAAACTTAGAGAATTGGAAAATCAAGATTATTTTTAAACAATCAAATAGTCATTGAAATCATTAAAAAAGGCGTGAAGTAGTCAATAAAGCATTTGCAATGATATTGAGCGCTTCATGAAGTCATGAATTTGATGAGATCACAGATTCAGATGGAGCGCCGCCCGCACGACATCCACCGACGACGGTGGGCACACGTCAGTCAAGGCATGTGAAATGTAGTGCATGGAAAGTGATCAATATAGATGCGAAATCGTTTGTCTATCGATTCGACGGAGACTGCAAGGAGCAACCAAAGGCATGATTTTGTTTGAGAATGCTGCCGTCGAATTTTTTTGATGGAATTAGATGAGGACATTATTACTATTGTGCAAATTCATTGATGCCATATCGAGAATAACAACTCTGAGCCTTCTTAATATTAGTATTTATTTTAGTATACAATTTATACGGTGAACGATCCGAGGAAACAGTATATACGTTTTCGAAAAACTGAGCCCGCTGATCTACCAGTACCCATCTTCGTGGTTTGTTTTATTTTCTCGAAGCGTAATCATCTCATTTAAAAAAAATTTTTGTATGTTAAACATTTCAATTTGCTAGTGAACGTTTTTTTCACGTTAAAAGTTTCTTCTGAATCTTCATTGGAAAGATTTTGAAAAGATTTTTTTGGTCTTAGCGATAATGTCAGAAATGCGATTGACAAAGACTAAGGTGGAAGATATTCGCTCTTTTCAGTTGGATAACAATACGGTTGGTTTACCACCGAAACGTGAAGTATCCATCTACGGTTTAAACGATAATATCAATGAAGCATTCTTGAGGGATATGTGCGAGTAAGTTGCTCTGCTGAAACTTTTCGTCGATAATCATCTGATTTTTGCAGTGATCAATATAGGAAGCAATTGTTTATTGATGCATTTCGATTTGTTCAGTTAACTTATTCGAATTTTGAATTGAATCTGGAAAAGTGAAATGGTTAACGGTCCAAAAAGAAGCATCTTGAATTCATACGAGTAATTGATGGTCTTAGGAAAATTGGAAGCATTTCGGAGATCACAATTTATCGACATCCACGTACCAAAAAGCATATGGGAATGGCGTTGGTGGTGTTCAGTGAGCCGAAACTGGCTGAATTGTTCGTTGCGAAGAATGACGGTTGTTCGGTGATGGGCGGTGTGATTACGTGCTTTTTGGATCCTTACGGTACCGTTTAATGTTCATTTGTATGCGTGCAATGGGTTTTTTGCGAGAATCGAGAAGAATTCTTTGAAAATTTTACGATTTTATTGTATTGACTTCTCAGTATATATTGCAAGTTAGAGTGATTTATGTGATGNTATTATTTATAGCAAGTAAAATCAGTAAACGGTACGAGCAGTTGGGTATGGAATGCGCACCAATACCAGAGTATTTGAAGAATATCAGCGATTCAAAGATAAACGAATTGCGACGTTCACTGAATACACCACATTCACCGCATGAGGTAAGCTTGATTTTATTTGAAATGAACTTTTGATTTCATATTACTCGTCAGCTTGTTTTGCAAAATTCCGTGAGCAATTCAATGTTTGATCGTGTTCTAAAAAGTAGTGTCTTATCATATTTTTGTTCTTATTGTTCGTATTCAATGAATGAAGGAAATTTGCACTGTACTAAAGAGCAAATGAAATGGAATTCAGTGTGGAGTTTCTAGAGTTTTCTCACAAAATTTATGCACATTTTACTAATGATTGTAAGCGATTCATTGGGAATCAACTTTTGATAAAGCAGCAGTTTGAGACTGTTTTTGATGATAGAAATTTAAGACGCCGTATCACGATGATGGTCCATCATGTAGTGGAATCGATCGAGTTGAAGAAACGTTGGAGCAGTTCTTCGACAGTATGCCATCACGCTCTCCATGTAAGGTTTCACAGAATGAGTGATATGCTCGCGTGTTGGAATTTGTTCATTTTAACGATTATTTCTTTTCATTTGACTCTTTGGAACATTGCGTTTTAAACGGAGAAAACAGATATTGACTGAATATAATTCTGGTAAACGAATTGGTTTGGTTAAGATTCGAAGCTTTCATATTGGTTTTGTTCAGTGCGCATTATCGTTTGTTTTTGTTTAGGTGAATCGACAACGCCGCGGGCGGCTATCGAAACTCCTTCATGCAGCACATTTGTACGGAGTACAACTCCCACAACGCCACCACCAAGCAAAAAGATTACTCACAATAAGAACCATAAAAATAATATCAATAATGCTATGAGCAAAAACATTAGTAGTAATGCGGATAAAGAGAATAGCGATTTTGTGAACAACACTTCAAAGCCACCGAAATTGCTTTTCGCTGAGAGCGGCTGTTCGATCACGAAAACACCTGGTACCCCTCAGTCTGACCTGGTATCAGATGTGCGAGGACGTTGTCCTCTGCCCCCGGAACCCCCTTCTTCTACTAGCACAACAACGATTCCGCCTCTCTCTCGAGCTCCATTCCCAGTTCATGCTCCCCCGCCAGCACCCGTGCCCGCGTCCATACCCGTTTCTCTTGTACCCCCAAATGGTGCCGCTCCGCTCCTTCCTCCGCCACCGTTCTTCCTCAGTACCCCCACGCCACATATGCCCCCCTCACCCTTACCGTTTTGCTCATCACCCTTAATAAATCAACATCCACCACCTCAGAACGCCTTCTATCCGATTCTGCCCAGTCCCGCGCCCCATTTGGTAACTCCATCTTTGATAAGCAGTGCTGCATCACTACCGATGAAAGCCACCGACTACGTTCCACCACCCCCACCGCCTCCATCTGATTCTGGTTAATTTCGTATCTTTTCTCGATTTTATTTTTGCATTAGTTTTTAGTCATCTTATCCACTTTATTTTCTTGACAGAATTTTCTTCGTTCATTCCCCATTCTATCGACACAAGGGAAATTGAATGAAATTTGAAAATTTCTTCAGACATCTACTTTCTTCGATTTAAAATACGAAACGTTTGAATGGAAAGGCGAAACATTTTGAATAGCGTTCATTTTCATTTCATTTCGATTGGTCTCAATTGGATTACGGATGGCTCTATGCAAATTCGTTCTTGAAAGTTTCATTCTGATTCTTGAATAAATGTGATTTCGAATTGCAAAACAATAAGAAGTATCATCAGAAAAGCAAAAAATAATTCAGAGCGAATGAGATCTGCTCTGCCAATAAGTTTAGTTGATGAATGACTGAGTGGAATTGAACATTTCAGTACTTAAATCGTTCTCGGTGACAAATCTCTCAACGTTACCACCTCCGCAGCCACCTCATTCTATTGCAACCCCAGCAAGTCACCCGGATGCATCTGGATATCGCATTGTCAAGACTCCGACGACACCAGAGGAACCTCCACCAATGGATCCGATGCCTTTCGAGGTTGTTCCTTATTTCTAAATAAACTTTCTCTGCGTTCACAAACGTTTAATTGTGATGAACCATTGGGAGTTCGGTTTTAATTAAAATGTTTTAAATGAAGTAATGCACATGCATGCTNCATTTCTGTTGGTTCAGTTGCTCATTGATTATTCTCGTCTCCTTCAGCAATCGAATATTCGTGAACGGGAGGATGTCAAAAACGTGTCGTCGTCATCGAAAAAAGATGCAAACAAATTCCGGAAGGAAGGGCTGAATAATCGTGTGGAGAAATTGCGTCATTTGACTGGTATGTCTAGATGAAATTATTAATTAAAAAGTTTCGTTTTTCCGCGAGTTCATTTCATTTTTTTGTTGAAGTCAAATTTTTGCAAACTGCAACGATTCTACCTTACATTGCGATTCGTTTTTATTTGGAAGCATTTGGACATCAGCTTCAAATGGTAACGATATGTATATAGTTAAAACCATGGGAGAGGCAGTTCAATGAGTACTAATAAATTGAATTTGGGTGATATTCGAATACAAGAAGAGTAAATTTGAGAAGAGTGCGACTGTTTGGAATGTTCGTTCAGATGATTCAAAAACTCAACACAAACGACGACACGCCACGTGCTCTCCATCAACGGTATCGTCGAGTGAAGATCAGAAGGAATCCGGGAGTGAGCAGGAGGATGTGAGTGATGAAGAAGACGGCGAGGATCCAGAAAGTGATTTAAGTACGACAGCATTTCAGCGGAAGACTAAAAATGAGCATCGGTCGTCAAGGAAGCGACATCATGCGGAGGCGATTGTAGAAGAGGTGTGTGAAACTGACGAATTTATTTGATATGACTCGAAAGAAATTTGTTTCGAAGATCAAATTATAATGGGATGTTTAGTCGAGAAAGGTTTTCTGTAGCTAGACATCAGCATTTGTGCAGAATGTGGTAAATAGTTGATGTGGAAGTTTTCTATTTCAGAAGCGGAAGTACTATAAACGAAAGAATTATGCGGAAGGATCGAAAGATTATTATAAGGTGAGTCATTCGAAGATTATTTTATTCTATGGATCTCTGCATTGCGATATGTGTAATACGAAGCGGTTGTGATTTTGAATGATATCGCCAAGCAATGTTGAAGGAAGTGGTCATAAGAACGTTGGATGAGGTAAAGGATCGTAAAGAGACGAACACGTCGAGGTGTCACGGTGATTCGCGTGAGCTGGTTCAAGAAGTGGAACGGTATCAACGCATTCGGAGGTATATCACTTTCTGGTTTATCCGTGATTGCTGCGAATATGTACATCTCTTGAATTCTGGCAATTAGAGACGAAATGGAGCAAAAATTCATTTCCTCGCCATCCCATTCGCAATATTTCATTAAGTAATTTCGATACGATTCAGTGGAGTTTCTGAAATTCGGATGATTTTATTTTCAAGATATAAACGACGTCGAAGTGAAGACGAGTTGCGAGGTTCACTGTCACCAGAAGAAGTGGTTCGCCAATCGCGCAAAAATCCGCTTGAGACGGATGATATAGACCTGCCGGATCTGAAGAGTATCAGTAGTGATGAGGATGACACCGAGGAGACTCGCAATGATAGTAGGAATGAAAATGGTACCGATAGCAACTATCAGAAACGCAAATATGGCGGTTCGACGAGATACGATGACAGAGCGCGATTGAGAACACCGACTCAGCAGCAGTCTGATAGAGTAAGTTTAGTGTTCATTGATAATTTCGATTGTATTTGTTATAGGACATATTTATTTTGTTAAATTTGTGACATTAGAATATCTTTCGGGGGAAATGTTTGACTAGTGGTTAGTTTGAAGGTAAGATGAGACGCAGCGGTAGTTAGTTGACTGGTTAAGAAGCATTGTTATGATAGCGCTATCGTTCTTATCCAATCAGCTGTTCCGCCGAATGCATTCACTATGCTATAATGAATTCAGAATCGAAGATCTGGAATGGGATTCAGTACAGCACCACAGCGATCATCTTCATTGAATTGTACACGATTGGCAACAACAGGAAACAGTGCGAGTGGCTTGGACAGGAGGGATCGTATTCTATCGGATCGACGAATACCGTCGTTTTTTGAAATGTTCGTTGGTTTTCCTTCATTATTCGTCTTATAATTTCATATTCGTTCAGCAAAAGCAACGCCATTCACCAGTATAATAGATCCAATATTCAGTGTACCAATTGAAGAGTTGAGTTACCGAATCCGAATGATAAGTAGTCGTTGATTAGAGCAAATGGTAAGAAAAGGCAAGCTATCAAATTCAGATTAGCATGAAACGAAGAACGAATCGAGCCAGTCTTATGATCCCCATGTACTGATCGTTTTTTCAGTTGAACTCATCTGCTAGCAACAGAAATAATATATGGACTAGAAACAGATCAGAAGCGTTGATTCAGTGTACCGATTGCCGGGCAAAACAGCTTTCAGAAACTGTAAACCGAACTGTCGGAAAATTTTTTTCAAAATCTGGTCATAACGTTGGAATTATATAAGTGAAATTGTATGTAATGCGGCACGATAGTTCAATTGAATGGTATCGTTGAAAATGCGAACCGTCGATTTGTATTCTCTCAGCAAAAGTGAATCTCTAAAAGGATCCTGAATCCAGTCTCAGAGAACAACCTATCAGTGAAACGTCCGAAACGCAATTAATTTGCGTATACTGGATTGGTGGAATTAGAGTTTGAAGTGACGAGTAGTAGTATTGGTCACACGAGCACTAGACACGAATTGCAGTGACGTGTCGTTGCCACCGCAGTCGCAGTCGAATCGTCGTAAAACGATGGCAGTGAGCAGTACTGCCGGAGGCTGTGCTAGTTCGATTGACCGACGTCGTGGTCATCGATGGTCATCAACGTCCGCATCGGACGATTCCTTCTCGGACACCGACGAGAGTGTGGCTCGGTCGCGACGTTCACGCGCCTCTAAAAGGTTCGAAGGCACCAAGCACATGCAGTCTCACACCACCCCTTGCTTCCTTGCCTCATAACCTCGCAACTTGCCACCATATTTGAGTTATAACCAGCGTGAAGTTTAGCGAAGCACTGTTTGTTCTACGTGATCTACGTTGTGTTATACATCTAAAATTTTATGTTTCGGCAAAATTCTGCTCAAATTCGGAGTCAGCTTAAACACTGCCTTCGAACAGCAGCGTCCGGAAGTTCGTCTC